AGAGATTCGTATTCCTGGACTGCATTGCTTCACGGGTTTTCCAAATCAGGGAAAATAGAAGCCGCTAAAGATGTGTTCGATAAGATGACAACAAAGAACGTGGTTTCTTGGAACGCAATGATCAACGGGTGTATGCGATCAGGGGATTTTGAATCTGCGTGTAAACTGTTTAATAGCATGACTGAGAGAAATTTGATCACATGGAACTCAATTATTGCGGGATACGAGGTTAACGGTCGGTTTGAAGAAGCTTTGAGTATGTTCCTCAGAATGTTAGAAGAGGAAGATGATTTCAAGCCTAACAATGCCACTTTCACAAGTCTTATCTCTGCTGTTGCTGCATCCGCGATTCTTAGTACGGGAAAATGGATTCATTCTTATATGGTCAAGAATGGGACTGGATCCGATGGTGTGATTGGAACTTTAATCATTGAAATGTACTCCAAATGTGGAAGCATCGAGAGTGCTTTATCGGTTTTCGGATCAATACATAGAAAGAAGATGGGTCACTGGAACTCGATTATTGTCGGACTAGGGATGCATGGGATGGCAGACAAAGCGTTTGATCTATTCAAGCAGATGCAAGAGAGTGGTATCAAGCCCAATAGCGTGACCTTTGTCGGGTTGCTGAACGCTTGTAGTCACGCTGGATATGTAAAGGAAGCTCATCTGTACTTTGATTTGATGGTAAAACAGTATGGAGTTGAGCGTAAAATTGAGCATTACGGTTGCCTAGTTGACGTGTTATGTAGGAAGGGGCATCTTCAAGAGGCCAAAACTGTTATCGAGAAAATGCCAATAAGACCAAACAAAGTAATTTGGATGAGCCTATTACGCAGCGCCAGGAACTATGTGGATATAGAGATTGGTGAATACGCAGCTCATCAGTTGATAGACTTGGCTCCAGAGTGCCATGTTCCTCTGTCGAATTTGTATGCAGCTGCAGGAAAATGGGAAAAAGTTTCGCAAGTGAGAGAGACAATGAAGAAGAAAGGGATCAAGAAGGAAGCTGGATGGAGTTTGATAGAGCGGAAAGGTGTGATTCACAGATTCATTGTAGGAGACAGGTCACATCCACGATCAGAGGAAATCTATGCAAAGTTAAAGGAGATGAGAGAGAAGCTGGAAGAAGCAGGACACATCCCAGATACTCGACAAGTTCTGCTGCGGATTGAAGAAGAGAAAGAGAAAGAAGCTGAACTGGAGTTGCATAGTGAGCGATTGGCTATAGCTTACAGTCTAATCAACAATAATGGAAACGCCAAGAGCCCAATAAGGGTTGTCAAAAATCTTACAGTATGTAATGATTGCCATTCTGTAACTAAGTTATTGTCTCGTATCTATCAGCGAGATATCATTGTGAGAGACAACAGTAGATTCCATCACTTTAAAGACGGATCTTGTTCTTGCAACGACTTCTGGTGATGGGTTGGTTCACAGTCTTCGTCTAGATACATGTATCCTACACACTCTTTCTACCCATTTTCCAAAATAATCATCATTATATAAACCCCGGATTATTCAAAGTTACATTTACTCTGGATATTCGTAAAAGTTGAAATGAGATGTGGAGAAATCCAACACAAGGCTCAAGTTTTCAGAATGCCGCACAAGTCATTACTCGAAACAGAGTTTGTGAAAAAACTGAATCCTACCTACTCACCCACAGCCATGAACGGGATTCCCCTGGCAACAACAATAAACACCGGGATTTCAGATAATGCTCATTGTCTCATTGTCGTAGTAATTAAAAGATTGAATTAGCCAAAAAAATTCAAACGAGAGCATACGTTAAGAGAAAAACTTACCAGCCACCGTGTCTAGAAAAGTAATCATTATCTAGTGAAATAGCAAGTGCAAGGGCAACAGCTCTTTCTGATAAAGTCAGTGGCCGTTTTACTTCTAACTCTTCCACCTGTCAACATTTCCATAATAAAAGCTCAATCAAATCTCTACTGTAGAAGTAAACAACCAAAATAATACAAAAGTCGACCCTCGGGGGTAAAACTCACCATTGTAGCAGGGCCACTTTTGGATGCAGCATCAGATTTTCCAAATCGGATCACATACTGCCCAGCATCTGTGAATATCTGTATCACATATTTAAGAACATCAACACTGTCTTTTAGTCACCACAAGAAACTATGTTTTCAGTTTTCCTTTGAGATTCTTTATTTGGCTGATCTTTTATTATATAATAATTGTGGAAGTGCATGAGTTAAAGAACACAAACCTCAAAGCCAAAACCTCTCCAATCACGATCTATTTGGGCTAACACTTCCCCATCAGCATCCTTCACTGTAAATGTCCAATTCCAAAACCCAGGATTTTCCACCACTGCAAACTGCTTGTTCCTGCAAATAGTAAATGTCATATATTTGGTTCATCCAAAGATGTTGCCATGCTCTGTAAGTCTGTATCATTCTTTACATGTATACGAGATATACATAGATGGTTTTTTTCTCTCGAATAACAAAGAAAAGGATCCAATAGGTCAATCAAACATTCAAAAACGCCAATGAAAATATAAATGAGAAGAAATTACTATCGAAGTTTACCCCAGGTATAAATCATAAATTCTTCTCCATAGATGCCACCGTCGGTGGACCACACCAATTTCCTACACCAGTAGCAGACACGAGAATGAGCTGAAAATGAACATCTTAACATTGGATTACTGTTTTGTAAGGCTTTAAGTGCTACACAAGTGTACCTCTCCATCAATCTCAGCATATATTGAGCTTGTGATCCACCAGAACGGTCTACGAACCTAAATGATGAAGATGAGTTACTTCAGCTCAAACAAATCGAAGATGCGGTAAATTTACACACAGCAGTGTCCAAGAAACCTCACCCGGAAAAGTTCATTACCCAAAGCATCAGTTATTGAAGCAACAAATGGGCGCCGGGTACGAAGCAGCTGCAGATTTTTTTGATATCATAGAAGAATGTTTTCTTATTTTGGTCGATAATATGAAAACGACTACTAAACAACAGGTGTAATTGACAGTTACAACTTCTCTGAGCTAACGAAAGAATATACAAAATTTTAACCTTAGTGCCTGGGGTAACTGATAGAGGCGATGCAAGCTTTTAGTGAGTAACATTACAATTGAGACTCAAGCACATGTTTTTGAGCAAACTTATCACTCCTTAGTTAAAATAGCATTCAGAGCACTTCCTCTATACAGGAAACTAAAGACTAGATAAGTAAAACAATATAAGAGATGCAATTGAGGAAACATTTACAGCTAGCAACGGGATTTTCAATGAGAAAAAAATCACATTACGCACACCTTTCTGAGAGAAGGATGGTAGGCAACAGATCAAAATAATTAAACTGAAGAATCAAATGCTTGAAAACGTGAAGCCTCGACAACAATATCAAGCCTATAATCATTTAATCAAAGAAAGTTCAAGCAAACAAAACAAGTTGACCTACCATTCATGTGCACCTAGATGGAAATAGAGTATGAACATGCTAACCAAGTACGTTCGCAATTAGTTAGTTAGGAGAACAATGAATTTCGTAGTGAGTGAAACGAACATTTCGAAACTTTAAATGCTGCTCACTGGTGACAGGTTTAGAGCAAGAATGTAACCTGTCGCGCAAGTAAATTACTTTGCTCCCGGATAYACCCCACAGGCTGTGAAGAAAGAGAGAAAAGAAAGGTTTGAACTACGGAAAAAATTGATATGAGTTCAAGGTCACAGGTATCTGTAGTGCCCTCTACACTCAAAATTTTGTAAACGAAAGCTCGAAAACAATGCGTTGAGATCACTTACCGCCTGAGGATAGCAAACATCAACTACAGAATAGCGATTTTCCTGCAGAAAGAAGAGCCCGATTACACAAGTGGTATAATATTTAAACAGCTACACGTGGGGAGAGAGGAGTTGAAAGGGTAGGAATTGAAGGGGCATTCCATATGTAAGAATTACAAACACGGTAAGTTCAATTCATCAGAAACAAGCAGCAGTATTACATAGTCAAATGAGGAACAGAAGAACTGGCATAAAAGAATACCTGTTCAAAACCAAGGACCAGATTTCCCCATTCAATGTCCCTTGTAATCAGCAAATTAGATCGAGCAAGCAGAGTTGCAATTTTGACCTAAAAAAGAAAGTAAACAAAATGATGATTTCCAAATTCTACATTTCAAAAAACTCAGGAGAAGAAGAGTAGAATGAGATAAGCAGAAATCAAGAAAATAAATCTTCTGTAAGCTACCAAATTATTCCTGATAAATTTCCCAATAGAAATTGGTCAGAAAGCCCGTGTGTTAGTTTTTCATACTTGGTTCCATCTATAGTAACAGCAATATTTTCACTAATGTCACACCCACAGAGATAAAGTGGCAGCCAACAAAAGATACTTGGTAATAAGCAAAAAAGCAAGTTACAGGCACAATCTATACGTATCTGAAGATTAAAGAAACATAATATGGTTTAGTAGCCAAAGGAAAGATAATGAGTCACCTCATCAGAAGTTGTAGGCTTGAGAAGACCAGACATAGACTGGCTAACCGGTGGTTGCTTGAGTGCTGAAGATTGGGTATCCTCAGAATAATTCCTATGATTTCGATATCGCTTTTCCATGGCTTTAAGCTTTTTCATATCTGAAATCCATAGCTGAGCCAAAAAGTTCCGATCCAAGGGAGGAGAAGTATCACCACTGCCATGACTGAAGCATCTAGCAGAGGGAAACGAGACCTGAGAAGTACATAGCGGGCTATTTCTCCATAAGATAGAATTTCCTGCTCGAGAGTGGAAAGTCTTGATCCCACTGAGTACGCCTATTCCGTCCTGTGTTGTAATCCAATGAAAACGACAATACTAAGCTCCAGAGCACAAATCAAACTACTAAGAAAATACGCCCAGAAATGCCGAATCTATACACAGTTCCGATACGAAGACCTACAAGTAGCAGATTGAGAAAAGAAAAACCCTAAACCCCAATCAACGCATGGCATTACCCAGAGAAGCGATTGTTTGTTCATCAAAATTGGGATGCGAGTGAATACCGGGTTAGAGTAGAGAGAGGAACAGCAGACAGCCGCCGTAGCATCGCCGCGGAGTTGGAAACCAGATCGGAGAAGAGAAGAGAAAGGGCGCCTAGAGAGGCAGGCCATGACTCGGAATCTTTTAGTACGTCGGGAAATACTTAAACCGATCGATTTTGCCAAGAGACAATGAGTAAAACGGTCGCTTTTGTTTCTTCCTGGGAGCCCAAGTTTGCTTGTTTTCGGCCAAAAAATTGATGCTTTATCTAAATTGGGAATACGG